ATGACGGGAGACTCCGATCTTCCGCTCCTCCTTCCCCAGGCATTTTTAGTCATTTGTGTGCTTTTTCTGTCACCTGCCGCCCCTCTCTGGTCTGCTTTAATTTCCCCCAGGCTCCCTGCTTCCCCTCCCCGGGTCGGGCCGGGCCGGGTCCCGTCCAGCTCGGATGGAGGGCCAGGCGGGCGGGTCCGTGCCGGGAGTGGTTTGACGGTGATGGGGCCGTGGTACACTTTCTGCCACCTTCCTCGATGGCCCCAGAACCTGTGGGGCAGATGGGGCCTGTATTTGGAAGTGGAGGGGACAGTGGCCGGGGGTGACACGTTGGCTGCCCTCCCCCCCGTCCCCTCCTCCTTCAGGCAAGAAACACCGAGTCTTGTTCTGAGTTCTTTTCTCTTTGGCTCTAAGCAAAATATCGCTTCCTTCCACCTTCCAGAAGATTTCCCTGCAATCCATATTAATGTCTCCCCTGCACACCCGGCACCTGGGGACCCACAGGACGCGGCAGGGCCCGCCCGTCATGCTGCCGGGGGCCGGGGCAGAGGCTCTGGAGTCAGGAGGGGGGTGAGCACCTGATGGGCTGGCCCAGGCCACCACATCCCACCCGGCTACTCACTGTGGGGTCACTCCCTGCCCCCCTAAATGCCTTCGGCCTCGTCTCTGACCCTGTCCCGGTGGCAGGGCCTTTGCCCACGGGGTCTGGGCCCCAGGAGTCCGGCGGGGGCCGGGGGCCGAGGCGAGGAAAGGGACACAATAGGCCGGCTGAGCTCCCCCGGGGTCCGGTTCTCCCGGAATCGGACGGACACGCTGCCGAGAGCCGCGGCCTGTCCCGGCGGGGGCACAATGGCGCCTGTCGCTCCGAGTTTTCTGCCGGCCGCCTGTGGTCTGCGGGCCCCGCGGCCCCGGAGAAGCGGGGTCTGAGAGCCCTGGCGGGCAGGCTGTCTTTGTGACCATTTTGTGTGTCCCTTTGGGAGACAATAGGTGACACCTTCCTTTCCACCCGCTGGACAAGGCCGGCTGACAGCTCTCGGTGGATGAGGTCACGGCCGGCCCTCGCACCCGGGCACCAGAGGGCAGTCTGGGGAGGATGTGGAGGCCCCGCTCCATCTGACCATCGCTGGCTCTGCGGGGCACCACCATCCCCTACCCGGCGGCATCGTGAACTGTGACCAGCGGCTATTTTCCCCCGGGGCCGCCGGGTCCCCCTCAATGCCGAGTGACGGAGGGCAGTGCAGGCGTCAACTGGCTGCAGAGAGCTGGCCGCAGGGGCTGGTCTTGGGCTGAGGGCTAGGCCGAGCCACAGAGGGGGCTGGCCCGTGGATGCCCCAGGGGGCAGGGGGCCCAGGGCCCACCCCCCAGAGCCACGAGGTGCAAAATGACAAGGAGATGCGGCGTTCAGCCAACTCAGAAACAGCGTTGGATAGAAACGAGGGCAGATGCGACTTTCCTGACCACTCCAGAGCAAAGGCAGGCAGCGATGAGCTACAGAGAGTATTTTTTTAAATAAGAAGCCTGCTGCCCACCCCCCGTCAGCCTGTTCCGGAAATTACTGGGGTTGGTGCCTTTTCCCATCGGAGCTTGTGGTTCTGGGGGCAGATCGGCCAGGGGAGCGACGGCGCTCGGGGGGTGCTGGTCCTGAGCAGCATTGGCGGCGCTCCCACCCACGACCTCTCGGAAGCCTGCGGGCGTCGTGACCACAGGTAACCGGTGCTTTCCGTCCTCGTGCCGGCCTGGCTTCCCTGCTAAACTCGGGCATGGTTCCAGAGCCTGATGCATGAATAAAACACGAGGGAGGCCCCGCCGGCTCCTCTCCCACCGTGAATGCATAATCAGGGCAGACCGAGCCGGGGCGGGGCTGCGTGCGCACTGACCATCAATGATTCATCCGCCCCTGGCTCCTAATTGCCTCTCCAGCCCGTCCTGCTCCGGTGTGTCGGACAGGACCAGGGGTCCGAGATGTGCTTCGGGTCCCCCGCTGGTCTGTGAACCCCCAGAGGGCCAGCTGCGTCCCCGTTCCCCAGGGGCGGTCTGCATTTCATCCAACTGGGGGTGCGAGTCAGGGAGGGGGGATGCTGGGTGCCGGGGGCCTCTCACGCCCACAGGAGTGATTTCTGCACTGAGAGGGAGTGGCGGTGTCTGCAGGGGGCTGTGGTCACTCCTCGATGGGCCCTATTTTCTGTGAAGCCCTGGGCAGGATGTCAAGGGTCCCCATCTGGACTTCAGATCGCCCGCCCTGCTTGGGTGGGTGGCTGGTATCCCCGATCCTGTCAGATGCCCCAGCTTCTGGAACAAATTCCCCCTCTAAAGTGGACCCTGAAGGTTTTTTTTTTTTTTCCAATCGGTGTGAAATTTGCAGGACGTAAATGGAACCATTTTAAGGTGAACAATTCAGGGGCATTGAGCGCATTCTCGAGGTTGTGCAACCACCACCTCTGTCTAGTTCCAGAACGTTCCGTCACCCCAGAAGGAGACCCCATCTCCATCAGCAGTCACTCCCCAGCCCCTGACAACCACTGACCCACTTTCTGTCTGGAGATCTGCCTGTTCTGGATATTTCGCGTCCGTGGGGTCACACTGTGTGGTTGTGAATAGTCTCCTGGCACGAGCGGGTCCCACGCGCTGCACGGTAACACACTTAGACGAGAGTCACTTGCTGTTTCTCTGACGCTCCCGTCCCGAGGGCTGTCCTGGGTCTGACACGTAGCAACGGCGGCCCACCTGGGCAGGGCCGGCGGCCTGCACACTCCGTAGGCTCGGGTCTCTGCCCGCCGTGTCCCCTCCCTGGCACGTTTCTGTGCCACGAGCGCAGGAAGGACTCTGGGGCCTGCACCGGCCGTCCTCCGGACTGTCTCAGCTTCAGGGGGTCGTTCCTGTCACCATCGGGGTCCCCCTCTCCCCCAGAGAGTCTGCCCAACAAGGTGCAGACATGAGGTGCCCTGCCCGTCTCCAGCGTCACCGTCCTGTGCGTGTGGGGAGAGTCTGTGCCTGAAGACCCGACCTGGGAGGCGACGGTTTCCGCTGCGGGAACCTGGGGCCACTGAGCTGAGTGAATCCCACCGTGGTGACGAAACTTTCCAGGGTGCCTGGGAGGGTAGAGCCACGGCGGCCCCGGGAGCTCCCCAGGGACGCAAACGGCATGAAGGAAGCTCGTCCCGGACCCTGTGCCGGGGGGGGGGGGGGGGGGCAGCCCGTCGTTTCCTGGAGGGAACATGTGAATGGTTTCAAAAGGGCATCAGGCAGTCAGGGGGGAGGGATGCCCTGGGGGCTTCCGGGCGCCATGCCGTGGCCTGTGGTTCCACAAGGGTCCCAACTCCAAGTGCAGGCCTGGGCCTCGACCCCTCCCCAGGTCAGGGCGGTCCCCGGGCACCTGCAGGGGCGGGAGGGCGGCGAGGGGTGGGCGCCTCAGGTCCTAGGACAGCAGATGTGCAGGGTGGGCGCGGCGCCCAAGGCTGGACAGACAGTGACCCCTCGGCTGCCCCCCGGGACCACAGGGCTGCCAGCTGCACGGGCCGAGGAAGGCCGTGTTTGTAAAGCATTTTCTGGCTCTTTTATTGTTACGATTACTATTATTAATGGAGTTTGCTTTTTGGAACAGTGTTAGATTCACAGCGAAGGTGGAAAGCTGGCACGGAGGGTTCCCGCGTGCCCCAAGCTCGGGTCCCCCGTGGTTGGTGTCTTATTCAGGCCTGTCTCGTGTGTCCCCGCTGATGACCACAATCGATGTGTCCTTGTTGACTAAAGTCCATACTCTGTCCAGAGTCCTCAGTCTCCCCTGACGTCCTTTGTCCCAGGACCCCAGGTGACACTCAGGTGTCCCATCTCCTGGCCCCTCTGGGCTGGGACATCCTCAGACGCACCTGATGCCCTGGGCCGGTGTGAGGGGGACCGGGCAGGAGTGTGGCAAGACGCCCTTCCGCTGGGGTTGCACTGAAGTTTTTCTCACGTCAGCCTGGGATGGTAGGTTTTTGGGAGGAAGACCAACACGTCATATACACCGAGGGTCCACAAAGCATTTTTTTTTTAGTGAGGAAGATTGGCCCTGAGTTAACATCTGTTGTTAATCTTCCCCTTTTTTTTTCTCCTCAAAGCCACAGTACATAGTTGCATATTTTAGCTGTCGGTCCTTCTGGTTGTGGCACGTGGGACGCCGCCTCAGCATGGCCTGATGAGCGGTGCCGTGTCCGCACCCAGGATCTGAACCAGCAAAACCCTGGGCCGCCAAAGTGGAGCACAAGAAGCCAACCACTTGGCCCTGGGCCCGGCCCTGCAGTTTTTAAATATATATATATTTTTAAAGATTTTATTTCTCCTTTTTCTCCCTAAAGCCCCCTGGCACATAGTTGTATATTTTTTTTTAGTTGTGGGTCCTTCTAGTTGTGGCATGTGGGACGCCACCTCAGCATGGCCTGATGAGCAGTGCCATGTCCGCACCCAGGATCCGAACCAGTGAAACCCTGGGCCGCCGCAGCCCTGGGACCGGCCCCTAAATTATAAAGTTTTTAAGTGATAGGAGTTTTTGAAAAAACAAATCTCAGAAAAGAGAGCAAAAAATATCCACTAATTATACATATACATACATACATATAATATATACATACGTGTATGTATTTTTAAAATAAAATATATACTTTAAAACATTGAGACCTCATCATAATACTATATTTTAAAAAACGGCTTCATTGAGATACAATTCACCTGTTTGGGGAGTACAGTTGAATGTTTTTGGAATATAACACTATCAGTTTTTTTAAACTGTGGTAAAATACACATAACATAAAACGTGCCACTTTAAGCACTTTCAGGGGTACAATTCCCAGCATGAATTACGGTCACAACATCGTACAAGCCTGTTTTCCAGCCTGTTTGCCACTGACACACATTGTGAGCATTTGCCAGTAATGCATCTCCGCACCGATTGTTGGGATTGAAAAAAATCTGACAATTTGAGCTAAGCTCCTTTTTAAAATTTGCCGAAGAGAATAAAAACACGTTTCTGCCGAGCTTACCAGCCATTTAGGATTCTGCTCCTAGCGGCCTCCCGTAACCTTTCCGAGCGCCCCCCTTTTCCTGGAGACCCGATGGAGTTCTCCGGAAGAGGGTTATGAAGCTTCTCCCAGCACACCCGCCAACGTGTCTCCCAGGCGGGGAGCGAGGCCGAGCGGCTGTCCCCCTGTGTCCCTGCAGCCGCCTCCCGGCGCCCGGGACGGAGGTCAGGGTTTAGTGCACAATCTGTTTCCAAGGACGCTGTGAGCTCGTGAGAGGACGGCCAGAAAAACAACCACTTGGAGACCGTTGGGCAGATAAACATTATGGGTTTCACGTCAGCGCAAGAAAGAGGCAGGGGAGAAGGGAGGCCGCCAGCCCAGCCCCTGTGCGGCCGCGGGACAGGGCGTGCGAACCACCCGCCGTCTCGACCCCCCAGCCCAGGCCCCCGACTCTCGGCCCCTCTGCAGCGTCGCCCTGGTCCCCTGCGCAGGCACAAACAGACACGGCCTTCCCGTGAGCAGGCTCTGCTCTGTTGTGTGGGACGGGCGGCCATGGACGCACTGGGTCCTCGGGCCGGGAGGGAGCTCCGTGGGGGCTCCTCAGGCTGCTGTTCTCTGGGCTTCTCCTCAGGCAGAGCTGCCGGATCCGTTTCCCACACGAGTCACCCCCTAACTCAGTGGCTTCAAACCGCACACATTGATCATCTCAGGCTCTGGGGTCAGGAGTCCCAAAGTCCAGGGCGGGCAGGGCGGGTCCTCCCGGAGGCCCCAGGGGAGGAGCGTGTCCCGCCTCCTCCAGCTTCCAGAGGCGCCGCGTCCTGGGCTCGGGGCCCCTTCCTCCGTCCGCACGGCCAGCAGCGCAGCGTCTCCATCTCGGCCTCTGACCCCCCCGCCTCCCTCTGCTCAGGACCCTGGGATGAGCCTGGGCCCCGGGGATCCAGGGTCACCCCCATCCCAGGGGCCTCGACTTAACCCGTCTGCAGAGTCCCCTCTGCCCCGTGAGGTGACACGGCCACAGGGCCTGGGACCAGGACGGGGTGGTCTTTGGGGGCCATATCCTAACACATCCACTCAGCGAAATGCAGACCTTTTGTCTGTCTGGCCCCGCCCAGCACCCAGCTCTGTGGCCCCAAGACAAACGGTATGAACAGGTCTTTATGAGCTGGGTGGCCAGAAGGGTCTGGGGAACATTTGGTGTGGACGGGGGGCAAACACAGCGAGCCCCTCCAGCCCTGGGCCTCCGCCAGGGGCCAAGCAGAGGCCTGGGCGCCTCCGAGGGGAGGGTCCTGCTCCGTGTCAGGCACCATAGGATGGGCCGTGGGGAGACGAGAGGGGGTGGTGGAACCACTCCCAGGCCCGCATCCACGCAGCCCACCGGCTCTGAAAAATCTGCTTATGGAAGAGCTACACCTGTCTGTGCCCGGAGGGGACTGGAGGTGCCGCAGAGGGGCCGAGCGGCCATCAAAGGAGGAAGCCGCTAGTGCTGGGCCCATGGCGGGTGACCGGGATGCTGGGCTCTGCGCCGCCCTCCCTCCTGTCCTGTGCATCGTTTTAGTGTCTTTTCCCGCTGCCCCCACCTCGCTGCTGGCTGGAAATGGGGTCCCTGCAACTGGAGACGTCTGAGGGGCGGCCCACCGGCTGGGGTGTGGATCCTGAGTGTGCACAATGCTGTCCGGGGCACCCGGAGGCCAGGCTCCTAACGGCGCCCTCAGAGCCCACAGTGGAGGGTCCTGGGGCAGCCCCGGGGTGGGAGGAGGGTGTGGACCAGTCACCCAGACCCGGGGGCAAGGATGGACGCGTGGCACCCGTGTCCAGCCAGCAGGAGGAGCGCACAGGGCACCCGACAAGCGGCTGGAGATGGCAGGCGAGACGCCATGTCCCGTGAGTGAGAAGACGCGTGGAACTGCAGGGAAAATGGGGCCTTGAGCCATGGGCTGGGTCTGGGAGCACGGCAGCCCACGCCGGCATGGACTGCGTGTGATGGCATCCTTAGAGCCAGGGTTGTGAATTGGGGTGCATTGAGTCCCCCCTCCAAAAATCATATATCACAGTCCAAGCTGCCAGCATGTCAGAATGTGACCTTATCTGGAAACAGGGTCTTTGGAGACACAATCGAGTTAAGATGAGATCATTAGCGGGGGCCTAGTCCAATGTGTCCGGTGTCCTTATAAAAAGGGGGCATTTGGACACAGACACTCGGGGAGAATCCCACGTGAAGATGGAGGCAGAGGGGCCGGCCCTGGTGGCGCAGTGGTTAAGTGTGCACGTCTGCTTTGGCGGCCCGGGGTTCGCTGGTTCGGATCCCGGGTGTGGACACGGCACCGCTTGGCAAGCCATGCTGTGGTAGGCGTCCCACATATAAAGTGGAGGAAGATGGGCACGGATGTGAGCTCAGGGCCAGTCTTCCTCAGCAAAAAGAGGAGGATTGGCAGCAGATGTGAGCTCAGGGCTAATCTTCCTCAAAAAAAAAAAAAAAGAGAGAGATGGAGGCAGAGACGAGGTGATGCTTCTACAAGCTAAGGACGCCAAGGACTGCCGGTGACCCCAGAAGCTGGGAGAGACAGGGGACAGACTCTCCCTCGTGGCCTCAGAAGGAGCCAGCCCCGCCGACACAGAACCGACAGAGGGTCTGTTTCCGTCCTCTAAGCTGCCTGGTTCCTGGTGCTTTGTGACGGTGGCCCAGGCAGACGAACGCAGGCGTTCACTCGATTGTCACCGCGCAAGTAAGACAAGCTTGTTGGACACATTCGAACCCCACCGAGTCAAGGCGAAAGGAAGCCCCAAGTCACCACCATCAACAGCCGGGGTGCGGGTCCCGACGTCCTTCCACGGGCTGGCACACGGACACGGCGGACCGGCTCCCCAGTGAGGAGGGGGCACGGCCCTCGGGGGTCATGCTGCGCAGAGCCTTGGACCCCTGCCCCGCCCCACGCCCACTGCTGGGTCTTCTCTTCACCGTCTGCGACGGAGGCCCAAGACCCTTCTCCGTATGGATTAAACAAAGAACATTCCAGCAAACCAACCCTGGGTGTGAATGAATGACCGATGGACCCCACGGGACATCGAAAAGGCAGCCTCCCCCATCAATGCCACGCGCTGATGGGTTCAATGGGCTCCCCCAATGGTGACCTGAGCCCAGTTCCAGACCCCAGCCTCTCAGGGGAGCTCTGAGGTCACACGGCCCCACTGCCCTGAGGGGGTGGATGAGCGTGTTTCCACCAAGGCCCCCACTGTCTTCACATCTCCAAGACCATTTCTCAAAGCCGACTCACTTTTCTTATTGCTTTCTCACAAGCTTTGTTTTTGAAGGAGATTAGCCCTGAGCTAACATCTGCTGCCAATCCTCCCCTTTTTGCTGAGGAAGACTGGCCCTGAGCTCACATCCGTGCCCAGGATCCGAACCGGTGAACCCCGGACCACCAAAGCGGAATGTACGCACTTAACCGCTGCACCACCGGGCTGGCCCCTTCACAAGCTTTTAGCTCTAGAGCGGTTTCAGATTCCCAGGGAAATCAGAAAGCCGGCCCAGCGTCCCACGTAGCCCATGGCCCGTGTCCGCGTGGGGGATCCCGCGTGAGCGCGGGCAGCCGTCATGCTCATGGACCGACACCGACGCTCCACTGTCAACTGCCATCCGTGGTTTATTCAGATTGCCTCGGTTTACTGTACGTCGTCCTCTGTCCCGGTCCCCATCAGGACCCCAGGTGACATTCAGCTGTCCTGTCCCCTGGGCCCCTCTGGGCTGAGACGGTTGCTCAGACGATCCGGTGTGGAGGCCCCAGGCTGTCTCGGGGGGACGGGTCAGGGGTCTGCGGGACACCCTGTGTCGGGGTGTGTCTCCCGTGCCCTCATGGCCGGGCTGGGGGTCGGGGCGGAATCCTCGGCCCGGGCCTGGTTCCATGTTTCTTCCGCGAGCTGCTCTCCGGTCCCGGGTCCCGGGGAGGTCCCAGGACGCGCTCGCCTCTTGCGTGTCTCTCGTTGCTGATGACGGGCTCTTGGGTTTTCTGAAATCATTCAGCTTTGGAGTTCGGTGCATTTTGCTCATATTTTAAGACCCTTAAACGCTAAAGGACGCTGCCTGTATCCACAGCGCTAAACGCAGTGTTTACTTTGCCCTGGTTTGAACTCCGAACAGAGGGAATCAGACTGCGAGAAACGAAAATTAACGGAAAGCCTCAGATCTCAGAATCTGAAAACAAAAAGTAACATTTCTGTGTCCTTAAAAACAAAAATTCTCAAGGTTTTGGTCATTCATATTTAAAAGGAAAAAAAAACAACAAAAAAACGTGTGCCCTTTCTTGGATTCCAGAAGGAAATATTTCTTTGAGCGGTTGGTGGCTTCTCTCTAAGACCATTTTTTGAGAAATTGTATGTTCTTTTTAGCTGAAAAGGCAGAGACACCCTGAAGAGAGAGTTGCCCACAGCAGTCTTGCCTGGGCGGTCCTGCTCCGAGGGGACGTGGAGCGACATCTGGGGACAACTGTGGTTGTCACAGTGGGGGTGCTCCCGGCATCGAGTGGGTGGGGGCCAGGGATGCTGCTCAACCCCCACGGAGCCCGGGATGGTCCCCCAGAGAGTGACCCGGCCCAGTGTCCACAGTGCCGAGGGGAACCCTGCCCAGACCGGGGGTCCCCCTGGTCCATCAGGACACCGTCCCGCTGCATCAGGCCCGCCCCACCCCAGGCGACCTTGTCCGAGCTGCTCACACCTGCAGAGACCCCCTTCCGGACAAGGTCACGTCCTGAGCTCCCGGCGGCTGGGACTCCCCCGTGCGAATTGGAGGCTCACGATTCAAGCCCTCGACCGCCTTCTCTTTGTACATTCGAGTCCCCGCGGCGGCGGCGGCGGCGGCGGCGGCGGCTTCAACTTGTCAAGGTCGTCCGGATTCTAGTTCTGTCCTCTGAGGGCATCTTTGTGTCGGGACCGTTGGCTTCAGGAGGCGGAGCGGCGCTTGAAAGCCTCCTTTCAACTCGTCTCCTCCAGCTGGGGGGCCGGCGCTGTTTTTAGGAGCCGGGAAGGCCCCGTCCTGCCGCTGCGGCCTCACCTGCTGCCTGTCCTCCCCCCCGGCGCTCGAGGGCGGCGTCCCGACGGGACAGGCTCCTTCAGGGAGCCGCAGTCAGTCCCCGAGGCTCTGAGGTTCCCCGGCCCCCAAAGCGAGATGGGGGTGTGGCAGCCGAGGGCCCCCTCCCCTCACTTCATACACGGCCCCCGAGCGACACAGCTGTCGCCTCCCTCGCCGGGAGTCCCGAGGGTCCCTCGTGGTTGTGTTTTCAGAACGGCGTCGCCCCGTTGCTTCCGGAACTGCGGGCTGCCCGGTGGAATATTAACGCTCTCCTTCAATCTAACAAGGACACCGGGCGCTGGTCTCCCGCACAGGTGACTCTGGGCTCGACACGGCTCGGCGGAAACGTGGCGTGCTGCGGGGCTTTCAAATACATCACGGGCTCTGTCCCCTCAGAGCTGGGGCCCACGGGTCCCAAGATCCCCCGCCAGTGAACACCCATGGTCCAGGTCCCCTGAGCTCGTCACTCGAGGGTCTGGGCAGAGGCGGACATCCCAGGAACGTGAGGTCAGGAGAGACCTCTGGGGGCGGGGGGCCGGGCTGCTGGGAGGCCCCCCAAGTCTCCCGCACAGATGAGAATTCATCCTGACTCTAGCGGGCTGTGGGGGGGGACACAGTGAGGAACAGTGTGGCTCTCCAAGAGCACGAGGCCTTGTCAGCGCCCCCGCAGCCTCCCCGGCTCCCCACCCCGCTGCGGGGGCCTCGAAGGCCACCCCTGCCGCGTGGTCACACGGGTGCCTGCTCGCCTCTGTCCACCGTGCAGCACTGCCGGCTTGGGGACAGGACTGATCTCTGTGGCGCTCCATTGGTTTTGCTCTTTAATGTAGTTTTAAACTTTTTATTTTGAAATAGAGTCATTGAAAGGCACAAACAAATCTACAGAAGGATGTGGTGCACCCTTTACCCGGCCTCCCCCGGTGGTACCATCTGGTAAGCAGAGTAGCCAGATTACTAGAGTACCTAGACACTACAGTAACCAGATGCTAGAGTACTTAAATACTAGAGTAACCAATACTACAGTACCTAGATACTAGAGTGCAAGGATGCTGGAGTACCTAATACCAGAGTAAGTAGACGCTGGAGTATGTAGACACCGGAATACCCAGGTATCGGAGCACCTAGATACTAGGGTAACTAGACACCGCAGTGCCTAGATCATGGAGTACCCAGGTACTGGCGTACCTAGATAGCTAGAGTAACTAGACACCACAGTGCCTAGATCATGGAGTACCCAGGTACTGGAGTACCCATATTTTGGAGCACCTAGATCCTAGAGTAACCAGACACCACATGCCTAGATCATGGAGTACCCAGGTACTGGAGTACCTGGATACTAGAGTAACTAGACACTGGACTGCCCAGATGGTGGAGCACCCAGATACTAGAGTATCAAATCCAGGACCCCGGCCTTGGTACCGTCCACAGAACCTACTCGGATCTCACCGGTTTTACACACACACATTTGCATGTGTTTCCACACCATCCCATCGTACAAGCACATGCGAATCATCGCTCCCGCGGTCAAGTTACTGAAGGACGCCGTCCACCACCAAGAGGCCCGTCCTCGCCCAGCCCTCCCCTCATCCTGAGGGAATGGGAGCCACTTTCTCCCGGGACGAGGTGGATCACGGAGCGGGCAGACAGCAACGGCGCATCCGTGATTTAGGATATAGCAAATGAATGTTGTGCCAAAAAGAAAAGTTTATTTTTATTATTCTTCCTTCTGTTTCCCTCGCTCTCTTCTATTTAGATGTATGGTGCTGTTAAAAGCAAGTGTCAGAGTCTAGGATTTTCAGACTACTAAGGAAAAAAGGGAGTGTTTACGGAAACATTTACAGCTATATTGTACCAAAGAGACGGCGCGCGTCTGCAAGTGGGGCCGTGCAGGCGCCCTGGCGGCCAGGCAGAGAGCACCGCGTTTGATGTGCGAAACTGCCTAACGAGGACGGAGGGTCCTAACGATGGCGGGATGCTCAGCAAACAGACTAGACGGCGGCAGGGGAGATGGTGCCCCCCCACCCGAGGGGGGACGCAGACGCCGGTAAACAGTGCGTTTCTCTTCCCGACGTCCTCATCCTCATCTGGGAGCTCGACTGTTCCTCCAGCTTTTATCACTCTGACACGGAGCTGTGGGTTTTTTTCTCTTTTTATTGATC